GGTTGGCTTGTGGGAGGTTGTGCCACAGGAACGGCGTTTATAAAGTGAGGTTGAGGCTGGGATTGGGGTTGAACGGGCGGCTGAAGCGCCTGGTTTTGATTCATGGCCTGAGCAGCGTATGTGCTGGGTGCCACTACTGAATTACGGGGTCCCATATGATGCCTCTGCCTGTTTTTTTCCAAAAATGCTTTAATTTGTTCGTCGGTGTAATTTTGAGCTTGAGGACCTAGCCTTTGTCGAGCAACCTGAACTTCGTTCGCAGTAATGGGGCGCAGCATAGGCAGGTTTGGAGGACGCTGAAGTTGTTGCTGTCCAGGTTGGAACCCTTGCTGAAGGTTGAAGGGTTGGGACTGTGGAAGGACAACCCCGGACGACTGGAATTCTTGATCTGTTTTTCGAGTTCCCTCTCTATGCAAATTCAGCTGCACAAAGTGGTATCTTTGTAGCGCTTGGAGTTTGGGCAGAGAGGCATCGCCAAGGGCATGAGGGTTTTGCGCTACCCACAGTTTGAGTTGTCCCCAAGTCGTAACACCTTTTGGCAGGGGCTGGGTGATATTGATATTCGTACTGATAAGGAGTGGGTGAAACGGAACACGATCCATCTCTTTGATTTGATCTTCTGTCAGTTCTACACTCGCTTGTTGTTGTCGAGCGAACTGCATTTTGATTTCCTGTTGTCGCTGTTGCAGTTGCAGCTGCTGTTGCTGCAATGCTTGGCGGGAAATATTTTGATTCTGGGGCAGTGGCACACCCAGCCCGTATGTTTGAGGTGACATTGTCATTGCATTTCGCATTGCTGCCTCGTTGGCTAGTTGTCCATTGCGAGTGGGTTGCTGATTAACTTCTTGTGAGGTCTGTGGAACAGGAACGTTAGGTTGTTGTCCTGGGCGAGCCATTGCTTGGTTACTGGCAAACATGCGACGCTGATAGCTTTGCATAAAGTGAGCTGCTTGTTCTGGCGACATTTGTGCTAGTTGATTTCGAAGGCTGGGAGGCAGCCCTGGTGGAATAGCATGTTGAGGGTTTGGAACCACCGGGTGGTCTTGACCCATACCAGGAGGCCTTGGTGGAGGTCGGCCCTGGGAACCGCCTTGAGGCTGGGGTATCTGGCCGATGCTTCCAGGTCGATTGATTGCTGACATTGCAGGGCTCTGTTGTGGTAAAGATTGTGGAATTTGAGGATTCACTTGCGATGACATTGCCATTTGTGCCTTAGCCGCAGCTTGTATACGAGCCTGGGCTTGAGCTTGCGCCTGTGCCTGTACTGCTTGAGCCTGCGACTGCGCCTGAGCTTGAGCCTGAGCCTGAGCTTGAGCTTGTGCCTGAGCTTGTGCCTGAGCTTGCGCCTGAGCTTGCGCCTGAGCTTGCGCCTGAGCTTGTGCCTGAGCTTGTGCCTGAGCTTGTGCCTGGGCCTGAATCTGGGCATGTGCCTGAACCTGCGCCTGTGCTTGAGCTTGAGCCTGCACCTGAGCCTGAAAATGTGCAGCATGTGGCCCGGTATCTTGTTGGGAATTATGCATGTTCTGCCGTTGTTGATGTTGCTGCGCGAGAATCATAGGTGTGATATTTCCTCTATTAGTATTTTGCTGCCCGTCTGGAAACATACCAAGCTGCGAATTATTAAAATGTGGTTGGACCCCCATCTGGGGAACGCTGGCTGGAACAACAAGTTGACCTGCATCTTGTGAGCGGACCCCATCTGCCTGCTGTCCTTGTATATGATCAATACTTCCTACGTATGCATTGTCAAGGTTTTGATGTCCGCTCACAGGAATCGTAGAATTGCCTTGGAGGCCCATAAGTGACTGAGGTATTTGTCTCTGGTGCGGGCTCATCGACTGATTGGCGATCGCATTATTGCCAGTGTCGGGAACCTGGTTCTGAGGCAGTATCATTTCTCGAGAATTTGTCTTCTTTTTGAGTTCCTTTGCGGCTTGTAGACGGAAAAAGTATAGAACCGGATCTACTCCTGTCCGAGCCACCCGCTGTTGTTGCTCAGGGTTCATACTTTGAAAGCCTGATCTAAGCTTCTGTATCACAGCTGGTGGAGCTTGTTGCATCATCTGATCTGCTCTCTGGCGGACGTGTTCTAATTCGTGGGGTTGGAGCCCGCCCATTTCGTCGCGAGAAGCGCCACGATTCACTCGTTGTCCGTTTTGGGGGAAGCCAGGGTGATGCATCTGCGCTTGTTGATTCGGGAGGCCCATTCTCATTCCTGGCTGTTGGGGTTGTGGTGGTTGAATCTGCATCGGAGAACCTTGCATCTGTTGTTGAATTTGACCAGGAAACACATTTGGCTGGGCATTATTTTGTGCAGGAGTAGCTATGCCGGGATGAGGACCACCGTGTGACATCGTCATGCCACTTTGCATCATGTTCGCCGCTCGTTGCTGTCTACTATCTCTTATCTGCCCCAACTTGTTGGTGCACTCTCTTTCATACTCAGCCTAAAACAAGTCAGCAACTTATCTCGAACGGTCATGGAACGAGAAATAGCATACCCTGTCACTTGATTGTTTGAAAGCTTTTTCTTCGTAGTTCACGGCGGCAGTTAATATCTTTGGAAGGTTATTTTCAACCAGGCGCAGTGAGGATATGCTTGTAAGTCAAAAAGAAAACTGCAGGTTAGCGTTTGTAACTTTTTGGCTGGGAAGGCTCTTGACATGACAGGACGCCATTCGAAAGGCAATTCTCAGAGGAAGCACATTAACAAAAACAACCAGCAGGCAGCCCAACGGACTGGAGGTGGCCAATGATATCTTACATTTGAAAGATCTTGGAGCCTCGGTCTCGAATCGGCACATCTCGTTGCCAGCCTTGAAATGGGCCCTGTGACTGAAGGGCAGCAAATATATGTTTCAGTAGCATCTGGTGTGTAGGTTCATTTTTCGGTTGGTTCTGGATGTGAGGAAATGGCGGTTTATCTCCCATCGGCATCGGGCCTCCATGGTTGGCAAAGTTGACTGGATTCATATTGGGAATGGAAGCCTTCAAAGCCACCTTCAAAAGGCTTCCCGACGGCGCGATTTCGGTCTAAGCATCAACCGATATCACGATAAACACCCCTGATAGTGAAGAAAGGTCTTTGATCAACTTCCACGTATAGTGGGTGTCGGCGTAGCCGCCAAATTTGAGATCGAACGATGTTCATGTACTGATGGGACGGAGCGGAACAAAATACAGATAGAAGTTCGACGATGGTTATGATCTGACAAGCAGCGAAGATGTACGGTGTCTGGCGGGGAGGTAGGTTATGAGATGTGAGGTAGAGACGAACGTAGGCTATGGCAAGTTATCGAGAGAGGATAAGGATTAATCTGGGTGCTTTGCTTTTGAGATTCTGGGGTTGGGAGGAGTGCAGGCGGGTATGGGCGAGGAGCGAGGCAACGAGAGAGATCCAGACAGGCTGAACAAGGGCCAAGGTTGTTGTTACCCAGTGCGTTAGCCCGCCGTAGCCAACGATGTGACAGGCAAACTAGGAATTCTTTCTAAGCACAACAACGCTGGCTTATGATCTGGGCCACATCAAGCACAAGAACAAGACGAGATAGAAAAGTCGTTTGGGCGAGAGGAATGACAGATGAACGACGAGGGCTCAGCAGAGTCTAGAGGGATCGGAGTCGACCGACGTCTGCTCAGAAATCTGATCGATGAAGATGAGCTTGGGAAGTTTATTGCACGTAGTGATTGACTACGGACTACG